ATTTAAGTGATTAATGGGGAAAATTATTCCTACTCCGTTACCTAGTTACACTTTCTTTCCCTCTTCCTCCCTTTTACATGGCGACTTGTGTTGACTTTTTGGTGTAAAATTGAAGAAAGAGGCTTGAATGTACACTTTTCTGCCAGGTTTTGCTGAATATTCATGATTGTGTATTTAAATTTTTCCAAGTTGAACCTCATACGTGCTTTACAGTCAAATGTTGCCACATATTGCTCCATCTTTGGTAGAAAGCGTTCAACCCAATGTATTATGATATTATAGTTATCTTATCCCTTCCTGGTCTCTATATAAAACAGTAGACCATTAGATTCATGTATTATGATATAATACTCATGTTACTGATTGTACATGTACACAGTAACTTCCCGATTAGATGAACCTTATACAACGTCCCCATTTTCAACCTTCCTCGTCTATATGTACATGTAGAACAGTAAAGTATCGACCATGAATAGATTCACGTATTGTAATATTATAGTTATGTTACTGGCTGTAAGATATATACAAGGTAACGTAGCAACTGTTCTTATATTCATTTTATATTAACATTAGTGATAAATTATTATAGACATCGATAAATCCCTGCTGGGTGGGAAGTACTGTACTCGGTTATATCATAGTACAAAACACAATTGTGCTAATTCCTATACACGGGGACTGAATAGAAACAAACTGACACCTCACACTTAAAGATAAATTAAAGGAAACTACTTTTGTTTTAGCAATTATCGTGTAAACGAATATGAATATGACCTACTGTTTATATACACAGATAACAATATAATGTCAATAGAATATAAATGATATTAAATACTACAAATGTACTATTTTACACTATGACCAGTTTGACTAGCATACCAATATAATATTATACTGATAAATACATTGGCGTGATAGAATCTCCACAAGTAGCTAGATATTAAACTCCAATTGAATCTCGCAATTTTAGTTAATACATTAGTGTGCACGTAAAAGATTCCTATAATTATATATAACAGTAGGCCGGGCCACATTTCCCTCATAACACAGTGTATGATGCATGCCGGTCTTTATTAGCATAGTTGGGACAGAGGAGTAGGACGTTAAACCCCATTTCATTGCATTTTAGTTCCACTGTAAGTATTACAATGTACTGAAGCAGACGACATACGCGAGCAGACGACACTGTGTGACACGCTGACTGTAAACTAAGCGAACTCGATAGCAGGTCATGTGATCGACCTACGACACTCCACGAAATGTATATAGCGCTTAACGGTGAGCAGTAAAGATGCTGGATATCCGGACTATCTTCTCTATTTTTGATTAAATCATGAAATGGCAATCGCATTTTATTTTGTGTCAATCACTACCATCCGATGTTCTAGAGAATTGATTATACGCTTGTTAAGTTAAAAATGCAATAGCTAAATATGCGTATTGAATGTTTTAATTTTGTCTTCAAAAGTAGAGTGACCCACAGTCTTAATTATCTGTACTATATAAACTGACCTGTTTTAACAGCATGTTGTCACGCGGATCAAAACTTCGATTATGAAAAAAGTGCTCTCACGGGCTCGCTCGTGCACTGTAAGCAGCAAACAGTCGCCCAAAATAGACATTCACGTGACAATATTCATTCACTTATTTATCAATGAAGCCATGTAAAAAAAATATTCTTTACTCGTTTTTGGCTAAAACTCGGCGATTTAATTTCTAAGTTAGTTGTTTTGTAACCAATGACGTATATATTGTAACGGTTCTCGGTTCAGAGTCAACTCATGTAGTTTCGCCCTTTTTCTATCTTTTAAATCCACTCTCGTGGCAACATACCGACACTGCAAGACTGTGAAAGTTACTTTTATTTAACCGTAAAACTCTGTTGTTAGTGGGCGCTTTAGTTACTTTAGAAGTTACATTGTTGCTAGCTCTAAATACGCAGAACAAATTTGAGACTGGAAATTAATTGAACGAAATTATTTTCCCTAGTCTCGATTAACCAGACGTGTATGATTAAGATAAAATTACGGTACTGGTCACAAGACTCGGATTCTAATCATTTTAGGGCGCTGCGAATTTGGCCTCCGTTTTTGTGTCAAATATAATAGGAGGATGTGCCATTATGGCTATGCCATTCGTGTTTAGTATCCTTATGCATTTGCCATTTCTAACATGGTAGTTACAAAACGTTTCAGTAATTATAAATCCAGTAACAACTCATTTTTCTAGAACTGAAATATAACCAAAAAGACGCGCATTGACTGTTTCATAATTATCATAGGCGTACGGGCTCGATGACAGTTAGGGGGGCAGAACCCGAAATGCCCGAAAAAATTTCGGTGTCGGTCTTCCTCGAGAGGCGAAGAAGCGGAGCTTACCTTGTTTGCCCCCCCCCCCAAGAAAATTTTGGAATATTTGACGTTTTCCTGCTATTTCAGCCCGTGAACAAGCAACTTCAATGTGGTCTAATATAGCCTAATGACAATGGCTGACTCGAATTCCAATCAAAAGATCAACCGTTGGGAAAAAACTGCCGCAAACGCGTTTTCCTGTTATTCCAGCCTGTGAATACAGCAACTTCAATTCGGTCCAATATAGCCTACCTGGCTGACCCGAATTCCAAACAACCAATCAATCGTCGCGGGGTATGGGGGCCTCACCCTCCCAGAGAAAATTTTGAAAATTTAACCACCGCAAATGCGTTTTCTGCTATTCGAGCCCGTGAAAGCAGCTCCAAAAGTATCCAATGGTTTTGTAACCAAAATCCCATTCTGAATTCCAACCATCCAATCAGACTGTTGCAGTTGCATTCACAAATAATAATCGATGCCAGAAAAATGTCGTACAAAGAATGGCTCTAGACAAAATGTTTTAATCCAAAGTCAACTCAGTACAAATTCGTTGTATTCAATTAAAAGAAAAGTAAAATTAGTGTTTTAGTAGGGATCGATGACAGTTAGGGAATCAAAACTAGAAATGCCCGAAAATTTCATTTTACAGACAGCGGCGCCCGTTTTCTTCGAGAGGCGAAGAAGAGAAGCTGACCTTGTCTGGCCCCCCCCCCCAAAAAAAAATTTTGGAATACTTGACGGACGCCTTTATTTTGCCAAATTTTCACTTTACCCATCTGCCCGAAAATTCAGCTTGCCCGACAGTTAGGGGGGCAGCTGCCCCCCCCCCGTCCCACCCCCCTGGTTCGTACGCCTTTGATAATTATTAAAAATATTAAAACGCGACACGATGCGTAAATTGTGCGTCTTACTTTCGAGAACAATAGCTATAAAACAGAAATTTCCAGATTGATACATAATACGACACAACCAACCATAAGTGGGAATTCAAACACAAAGGATATATTTAAACTTAAATTTCTCTAACATTTCACTAAAAGATCCCTATTGCAGAACTCCCAACTTATTATGTAGTCATTGTCATGCCGGTTGTTTTTAATAACAAAATTTTCCAGTCATATAACAGATCAAAGAATTTTTCGAGACGCATTGTCACGTATCGACTTCTATTTTTGGATTATCTGGCGCCACAAAAAAGCCCAATCATATCAAAAAGCATGCAGTTCCACCTTGAAATGGGTTCAATTGATGTACGGTTTATTCTATAATTTATAACACGGTTTAGAGCACAATGTGTAGGAGTCGCATTTTTGACTTCTAAGTAGATTCTTATACGGAATTCCGGATGCAATGCTAGACATTTGGACCACTGCTGCCGAACCGATTTGAAAATGCTTAAGGTTTTTTTTTCTTTGCGCATGTCGTGTGCTCCTCTGTTTTTGATGTGTATGATTTTTATATTTGTGATAATTATTTGAAACAAAATAGGATTATCATAAAGGATATTTAACATCTACAATAAAGGTACGGTAAGCACTCTCTACGTACTGCGTTTGTAAACCACGAAATTCACCCCTTATTAGAAAGTTTCAACTATAGTCTATTGCATGTAAACGTTAAAAAAATCAGCTCAAAATACAGACATCTCTCTCTCTCTCTCTCTCTCTCTCTCTCTCTAACTAAGGGCTGTGCACGCGTACAAATGTTAAATTCAAACGTTAATTGTACGTACGTAAAAAAACGAAGAAAGCCGACTGCGGAAATTAAGAATTCGTTTTCCAGAACAAAATTTGAAACTTTGATGTGACCAAGAAACATAACTCTTTTTAATGAAAAAATCTACCGCTGTAACGCTACTTGGGCGATCAACTTTTCCATATAATTAGAAAGTCACATTCAAATGGCCAAATCACACAAATATCCAACTTAGCAATAGTTTAATTGTTAATGAATGATGATTTTAATGGTAAGTCTTATCATATTTGTTAAAATAAGCCCCAAATATAGCTCGTTTATTTGATTTTTGTTATTTGCACGAACCACTCTATCAAAAGTTATATAAACTATCATTTAAACATTGATTCAGGCAATAATCAACTCTAGAGCCTCTGATGGCTGTGATTTAAGAGGATGAATAATATAAGTTAGTGTAGCATTTGAAGTGAAAACAAAGAACGGCAATAGGCAGATTTAGCTCTTACATAATGCATCTGAGAGAGAGAGAGAGAGAGAGAGAGAGAGAGGGAGAGATAGAGAGAGAGAGAGAGGGGGAGATAGAGAGAGAGAGATAGAGAGAGAGAGAGAGATATGAGGTTTAACGTACACTTGACACAAACTGGGTCATTTCTGGACTAACATGTGATTATATTTTTTTTCAATAATTCGCTTGCGCGTAGGGAGGACCCGGAGAAAACCCACGAGGTTAGACATGAGTTTCAGTGTCTTGTAATTGTGTGGTGACCTGTATAAACATCACATTGTAATAATTACGTCAGTGTCTTGTAAATGGTGTGGTATTAGAGGTGATGATTATAGATTTACATGTCTCTTACTTCTGTTACAGGTCAAACATACAGTTTATCAGGATCATCACCATATGGTATTAGAGGAGGGGATTATAGGTTTACATGTCTCTTACTTCTGTTACAGGTCAAAGATACAGTTTATCAGGATCATCACCATATGGTATTAGAGGAGGGGATTATAGGTTTACATGTCAGATATCTAGTGGTGAAGTTCCTAATGTTGTATTGTTTAACAAGGACAGATCCCAAACCTGTACCATATTATTATCTGATTGTCAACCATCATCAACTGATAACAGATATACATGTGGTTGTATCAATGGTAACAACAGAACACTGTATCTTAATATAACTAATGTTACATCAACTGATACTGGAACCTGGACCTGTGGAGATAGCTTTAACAGAATCACCAGTCCACCTGTTACTCTTCCTGTTTATTGTAAGTTGATTTATTTATATTAATCTGTAGAGAAGGGAGTGGTGTCAGTAGTCCACCTGTTAATCTTCTGGTTTATTGTAAGTTGATTTATTTATATTAATCTGTAGAGAAGGGAGTGGTGTTAGTAGTCCACCTGTTAATCTTCTTGTTTATTGTAAGTTGTTATATTTATATTATATTAATAATGTATTGATGGTAAAGACAGTAATATTTCTGTTCTACTGATTTATTGAAAGCCAATAGGGTAATACACAGAAAAGGTTTAATTGAATTTTATTTCAAACACACTGCTAAGGATGGAGCAAAAATACGTTTTTAACAGAAATTTGACATTTCTGGCCAATATATAGATGATTATATTTTTGTGCAATGATAGTTTTTTTTAAATTGTTAATTGTAAACGTCTTAGCATTTCCTTCTCTGAATTTTTGTGCAATATTTTTTTATTCCTAAAATATTAACTCTATCCGTCTTAGCGTTTATCTGAATCATCGCCCTTATGGCGTCATTTACCAGACGCCGCCAGGAATGGTCACATATGTCGATTGTTTTCATGTATTCTATAATTTATGACGTCATTTAGCAGACACCGTCAGAAAAGGTTACATATTTCGATTGTTTCCATGTATTCTGTAATTAACTATTTTATAAATAACAAGCAAGACATTTAATCTTGTTGTTTAATTATAATATATTAAATTGACTGTTTCTCAATTATTACAGTTTGAATTCGATTTCCATGATTACTTTTAATGTACTGTCATTGTTTTTATATTAAAGCCGATTGTTGTCACAAATGCTACAAAACACAGTTCAGGCGAAATAAATAACAGCAGTCTGCAAGATCACATTCAGATATAATTATATTAAATATAAATAAACGACCAGAAAATAAAATGTGACTATAAATGAATTAATTTAAAACACACAATCAATTCTTTTATAAGTATTGCATCACAAAAACCTATATATTTTCAGATTATAGGTCCACAGGTTTTTGTAAAGTAGAACTTTGAGTTTTAAAATTCAGTTATTACATGGATCTTCCATTGTCTCGCCACCACTTCTAGCGTTCTTGTTCTTACTTGGGTCTTCCTTTTCCCGCAAAAGCACGACCAACCAGCCAGGGGTGAATGGGAAGCTCGAAGCGCGACCAGCAAAGCAGGGTGAAAAGTCAGATAGATCAGACTAAAATCGGAATTTTATATAATTCAAACTGCTCTTGTGTGGTTTAAGTTGTATTTATCTGAAAGGCGTGGTGCCTAGTACTAAAGATAATAGGAACTTATATCAGTAAACAAATTTCGACATCTAAATCTTTTATCTTTCTATACCCGCTCTTGATAAGACAGGCGTACATATTTAAAAAAATTGCCCAATAACTGTTAATTGTTAAAAAGGGGGATTACAATATTGATTAGGTTAGAATAAAGTTTTGAACTGATGTGATTCTGATTTCGATTGGTAAAAGGCAGACTCTATGTGATTATATATTGTAATTTTTTTCAAAGATTGATTAAGCGTAACGTTATTTTAACTACTTTTGGCCTTATCTTTAGACGTACTATTTTCATCCCACAAAACAAATCATTTTATAAAAAATCAACCGATCTTTTCATTTAAATCAAATCAAAATATGAAATAAGTGAACAAAAAGGAAACCATGCACTACGCCAGTTATATATTAATAGTTTACTATACGTTGTCTGATTTATTTTATTTCAATGTTTATATTTTAACAGATGGACCAGAGAATATCAGATTTACACCAACTAGTTCTAATATAACAGTGATAGAAAATGAAAGTAGAAATATAACCTGTTCAGCTGACTGTAATCCACCACCGTGTAATATCAACTGGTATAAAGGTTCCGAGACTAGTGGTAATATAATATCATCTAGTAATGGTCGTCTACAACTAAACAACATCCAGAGACAAGATACAACTTATACATGCCAAGCTAAACACAGAAACTTAACAACAACCCCACTCACTAAAACACTACAGATAACAGTTTATTGTAAGTATTACCCTACTCACTATAGATAACAGTGTATTGTAAGTATTACCCTACTCACTATAGATAACAGTTTATTGTAAGTATTACCCCTACTCACTATAGATAACAGTCTATTGTAAGTATTACCCAACTCACTATAGATAACAGTTTATTGTAAGTATAGATAACAGTTTATTGTAAGTATTACCCTACTCACTATAGATAACAGTTTATTGTAAGTATTACCCTACTCACAATAGATAACAACTTATTGTAAGTATTACCCTACTCACTATAGATAACAGTTTATTGTAAGTATTACCCTACTCACTATAGATAACAGTGTATTGTAAGTATTACCCTACTCACTATAGATAACAGTTTATTGTAAGTATTACCCCTATTCACTATAGATAACAGTCTATTGTAAGTATTACCCTACTCACTACAAAGAACAGTTTATTGTAAGTATTACCCTACTCACTATAGATAACAGTCTATTGTAAGTATTACCCCTCTCACTATAGATAACAGTTTATTGTAAGTATTACCCTACTAAAGATAACAGTCTATTGTAAGTATTACCCCTCTCACTATAGATAACAGTTTATTGTAAGTATTACCCTACTCACTATAGATAACAGTTTATTGTAAGTATTACCCTACTCACTATAGATAACAGTTTATTGTAAGTATTACCCTACTCACAATAGATAACAACTTATTGTAAGTATTACCCTACTCACTATAGATAACAGCTTATTGTAAGTATTAACCTACTCACTACAGATAACAGTTTATGGTAAGTATTACCCTACTCACTACATTATTGCTCTTTTCTGACCGAGTAGAATCTTTTATCGCTTTATCAGAAAATTTGAACAGTTGGGTTAGAAATGAAATAAAATAACATGGGGTTTAACAGCCTACTGTTCTGCACCGACACGGCTAATGAAGATGTGCTTATGCCATAAAATTTTGCTCGGACAGCGGCGCATCGGCAAAATCTTGTATCCAAATACAACTGTCAGGGGTTCTATAACATGCACGACAATGGGACCACGGGTTTTCGTCCCATCCGAACAATTATACTCTGTCACTTGTATTTTAACAGATGGACCAGAGAATGTCATAGTTACACCAACTAGTTCTAGTATAACAGTGATAGAAAATGAAAGTAGAACTGTAACCTGTTCAGCTGACTGTAATCCACCACCGTGTAATATCAGCTGGTATAAAGGTGCTGATACTAGTAGTAATATAATATCATCTAGTAATGGTCTTCTACAACTAAACAACATCCAGAGACCACAAGCTGGTAATTACACCTGTCAGGCTAAACATACACAGATATCTGGTTCACAATCTAAACAACTGATGGTTATAGTACATTGTAAGTTGATAACATTTATATATTTGTAATTTACTGTTATGCAGATTGTTCGTTTTATATTTACCATCCTATATCTCTGTCATCATTACAGCTATTTAAAATATTATTAAGGATCATTTGTCTAGAGGGTCCGAAAAACACAATACATCAGGTGATATTATTGATAGTATCGGGCACGAGAATCCATTCACGCATTCTTACATAACAATTCTAAACCCTTGCGTCCGCCCCTAAATCAACATCTACCATTGATTCATTTATCTGAATCTAAACACAATGATCTCATCAACAAATTTCTTTAACGAACACTCTGTGTTGTAAACGCTTGCATTTTATTTTTTCATCTATACATACTTTTTAAAATCAAATCATATACAATAATGGTATGGAAAATTTTAGCATAACCATGTCAATAGTTAGCCAGAAATTATATTGTAGTATGTCACAGAGAATAACACGTCCATGTCGATAGAATAAAATGTGATCCAGGCAATAGATCTTTATATCGTGCCTACCTTCCTCCTCAATCCATTTCTTTAATCAATCCATCATGGAATAACATTTCCTGATTTTCATATTAGGGCTTAGAATGTCTGTACACAAAACTTGTCTAAATCACACTGAAAACGACCTCGGTCTTTTGACATGCTCAACATTTGGTTGTAACCATCTCAAATCCCATGCACAATAACCGAAACCAAATGATTGAATTTTCTGTTTATAAAAACAGATCCACCAACCATAACAAGTCTAACATCAGATGCTACCAACAACATGGTTGATGAACATTCTACTGTAACCTTCACCTGTTCTGTTGACAGTCTTCCATCTTCAGTAATATCCTGGTCTAGATCACAGCAAGAGGAACAACTGTATTCTGGTAGTCAATATACCATATCTAAAGCTAGTTGTCAACATACAGATAACTATACCTGTACAGCTAGTAATAATATTGGTCAACCTGTATCTAAACATATTCCACTCTATGCTAGATGTAAGTACAACACACTATTTTATATCATTAAAAAAAATAAAATGAACATGTAATGGAACAATTATGGAATTTCCTTTTCTTTTCGCCTTTTTCCTTTAAAGTAGTATATTGCTGTGTTCAAATTTTGTACGAAAGATGTAATAAGTATCAGTTGTTGTACACATTGCATGGTATGACCACATCTTTTGGACAGTCCAGCAGCTAACTACATAAAACTGCACGATAAACAAGTTAATTATTCCAATGTGGATACAAGAATCAAAATTAGCACAAATATTTCTTGAGGACTATTCTTTAGAATAAGCCAAGTACTCAATCCAAGATAGCTGCCAATTTTCAGGATAATCGACATTCAGGCAACGAAATGTAATTTTTTGCGATAAAGTCAAATTAAATTCTCTTATATTATTTATCCTTATAACTTATGTTTCATCTAAATTGGACAATAATTGATGTCTCTAGCTGGTCGTTTACATTTTGCGTAAAACGCAGGATGCATACCAAAATCGAATTCCTCCAAGATCTTCGGATCTTTGACATATATCTGAATCGAGTAAAATTCCCAATTTATCTAACTTGTAGGCGGCAATAACCCAAAACCCCAAAAGTTGCTTCTGCTGCGCACACCAATATCGAATGTCCACCCGAAACAAGTTTTAACGGCCAGAGATTCAGACGTCCAGATTTACGGACATGGGAGACAACATAATATGTCTACAGGAATATGTGGGCTTATAAATATCCTATCACTTGTTCCAGTGGGTAAAAAGATAAGTGGACGAAAAGTATAAAAAAATCCCAGCAATCTTTGAAAATGATGGTGATTTTGAAAATTTAAGTGGCTGATAGGATTTTCTTAATAAACATCCCCAAACAGAACTCCACACCAATTCTAGTGCCTGTATTCAGATTTCAAAGTTGTTTTACGCTTAGCTGTCCCTCTATAGTTGTATAGCCAATACCCCTTTGTATGTCTGTATTCTATGTTCTACTCGAGAAAACAAAGAAACCACGAGAAACATCACTAAAAGAATAGACACAACAGTAAAGTTAGAAGTTGATATAATTGTAATTCTATATTACAGGTTCTCCAAGAGAAAACATAGAAACCAAGAGAAACATCATCAATAGAATAGATGCAACAATAAATCTAGAAGTTGATATAATCGCCTACCCTGAACCAACCTTCACCTGGTACCATACACCTACCAGACAGATAATAAATACAGCTAGAACACAACAACTATCAACTATAAACTATAAATCAACAGTAGAGATAACTCTAAACTCTACTCTATTTGGTGATTATATAGTATCTGTACACAATGGTATTGGTATTCAGAACTTCACTATTACAGTTATTGATGGAGGTAAAACAGTTAAATATCAACTAAGTTTTCTAATGCATTACTGGTAATTTAATATTATAAATTTAAATAGGGACCATCGCCTTTGGTGGTTTTCTATGTTTTGTCCATTTCGAGTTTTTTAATCGTGTGATCTATCTGCCTCAGGTCTAAAAGGAAGGTATTCATCCAGTATTAGACTATTCATTTGGATCCTCTGTTCACTTCGACAATTGAGCCAAGATGGACAAATCTATTGAGGCTCACGGGGATTTTTTTTAACTGAATAACTCAAATGATGAGATACAGGTTGATTACGATATGCAATGAATCATTTGATAATGACATGCACACCGCCATTCTGGAAAAAAATTGTCATGTTTTCGAGCACTGTGATGAATACCGTGTGGAAATTAATGTCATTTAACTATTATTGAACGAGGATGTAACTCTACAGGCCCGAGTTCTAGTAGTAAGAGGTCGACTAGATCAGAAAAATCAGAAGGCTTTTACAACTTTTAGGCACCTTTGTAATTCTCTTATTTTGTACCCCACCGTCCATCCGCCTGTCTTGTCACACCTTTTAGGGCACAATAACACTGCTTCTGAAAAATCATGAATGTTCAAACTTGGCCGTGATTTAAATATAGTCCAAAATTATACACGAAATTTTATCCATAGGATCCAAATACCGGGAACTAAAGCCATTTTCATGGGATCAACATTTCAAAATTTCAAACTTATAATGGATGCAGTAGCGGACTATTCTAGATCAGGGAAATATATCAACAAATGGTAGGTATCCCCATGGACACTAACTGCGCACCACTGCTTTAGAATTCATATATCCTGGTGAGCTCGAACTTAAAAACACTACCGATAGTGATAATTAGGCTCCCTACTTGGATCTGCGTCTCGACTTTGACAATTACCAGAAACTAAGTGTTAAATAACATGATAAACGTAATGACTTCGACTTCCCGATTGTCTATTTTCCATTTATTAGTAGTAACATTCCACTATCACCTGTATACGGGGAGTATGTACGTCTCAGTTAGTTGGATGCGCGAGACCTTGCTCCTTTTTATTCTGATATTGACCTGATTAGCACATATAGCCTATTCTACGTAAATATATTTAATTGACTCTTATACTATTTTCCTGAGTATGTTTACGGCATCTGTTACCACTGTTCATCGTGTGCATTATGCATATGGACAGTCCATTGACTAATTACGCTATTTTACTGAGATTCCATTAATGGTTTGAACACAGCTATGGCGGGTGTGGCGTCAGACAGGGTAAGCTTACTTTTCCGGACACCTGTTACCACTGTTCATTTTTTACACGGTAAACAGTTCATTTGCTGATTACACCATTTTGCCGATACTGTTTGTAAGGATTTCGAATGCTCGTACTTGGTTTTATTTATTTTGACCAAGTTCGACAAGGAGCGAAGCGGAGGGGAAATATCAATGGCAAACTAGAATTTAGGACAGAATAAAACGTGATATATAGTTTCATTACATCAACATATTGACTATGTTTAGTTACAGAGTGATGAACAATTGCATTGCTAGATGCTTTTTAAACGTGGCAAGTTTAAACTTGACATTAGCTTCCCTGTTGATTTGTTCAATACTACTAGATTAATGAACGTTTATACCAAATATTATTTAGTCGTTATTGTTTACTGTTTTAACAGCGGTCATGGAGTTTATCTAGTTACCAAGACAACGGCTCCTCCTATTCAATAGTCTGACAACTTTTTTGCAATATTAGTTCGAAATCAAGGCCATCATTTATCAACTTAGCCGCATTATTAAAACCTCCCAAACCCGTTAATTGCGGGATGATTATCAAACGACAGTTCATTGCATATCCGTCAAAAACAGACGATACTTCAGTACCCGTCTGTGTCACATCATTTGAATCATTGTGTGGAATAAATTCAGAACGTGCAGTTCCCCCAGTCGACATGCCCACTACGCTGCTACCACAGTGAGCTGGGCATCGACTAAGTCGTAGGTCAGAGAGAACAAATGAAACATAGTTGATACCGGGATGAATGTCATCGTATTAGGTCTAAGGTACGAGTTGCTCAATATGGAGACAGGAAAATCACTTCATCGCCCAAATATGTACAAAAATGAATTTAGCGATCCCGAAAACGTGTATTTGGATATAAAACTCGATTATATTAATAATCTTTAAGTGGCATTTAGCGTATTAGAGTTTATTCGGGCAGCTAATTACCTTGTTGTGCTTGTTAAATATCCTTTACCTCTTATAATATTTGTCACTGTTATTTGAATCCATTCTGATGGTTTCACTATGAATTTTGTAAATATTGACCTCAGGTTTACTAAATGTCATTGTGCTTGATAACGATAAGAGGATACTTGTCGAAACGTCGTGCTTTTAGAATAAAAACTGTGTTCTGTCGATTATATTATGATAATTAGGTGGGAATTTCCATGCCAAACCGGTGGTCATTTCGGATTTTGGTGAATTAGACCCATATATCCTTAAATTCATAATTTGACAACTTTGTGTGTTTACTACCTTTTACTGACAATATGTAACGTTTCATATTAATAATTGAATACCTCTACTTCTAAAAGGATGATATAGTTAAATAATGACGTCGACTATATTCAGCAATCAGAATTAATAAACTGTGTTTATAGTTGTTAGTAATGGTACTCTGTTTATTGTTAGATATTTGTCCTGAGACGATTATAATCAGTAATCATACTGGTGTAGAAGTTGAATATAGAATGCCTGAAACAATTCATGGACAGACATTTGAAACGGATGAAATTTGTGTTGTCGGTAAGTAACGAATAATAACTTGAGATTCATTCTGTATTATACAATCTGAGGAGCGGATAAGGAAAGCGTCAGATATTTGGCCAAATTTGATTTGTATATTCTTTGTGCTAGTTGTTCATTTACAGTCTAACTGAGGTAAATATATAGCCTTGTAATTAAAATATCAACAGATTTCGACATCTTGTTTACCATAAAACACTAATTTATTATTAATTAGACGTGAATTACATCTAATCAAATACAGTATGATAGTAAATTAATTATTTATTATGTAATATCTGGTGCCGGCGTCAAATCAAGGACATGAATTACATCTAATCAAATACAGTAGGATAATAAAACATGGATCAGAAACCGAGTCCGAAGCTGTCGCTGCCACCATGTAATTGTGCCATTGTGACATTCTTTCCAGGTTTCTTGTCGATCATAATTGACTTACCGGAGCCTGGAGCTTTTTTCGAAGAGCACCGCCCCCAAGAAGAAGAACAATTGCATGACAAGTTCTTGATCCAAAATGGATATTTATTAAAAAATACAGTGTAGTGTAGCTTAATGCAATACATTTTTTTGCTTTCAGATGGCGCTCCTATAGGTGTAATACGATGTTTTAACGGCTCCTGGAGTCGGATAGCCTTTAATGAAAATTGTAATTTCCAAGAATCATTGAAGTCAGCGGTTACGACAAATCTGTCGGTAATAGCCCAGGTAAAGTATTATAGATTGAGAAAATAACGTGTTATGCGTCGATAATAGAGTAATTTAAGTTATTAATTAATTGAATACATGCAGGAAAGGTTATACATTTGCTTTGTGGAGACTACCTAAAAATTTTCAATTTAAAATCTCGGAGACATGTTTTAAACCAAACCGCCATTGTCGGGATTATCTCGGTTAACTGAACTGAATCCACTTCAAAGTTCTGGCACTAAAGCTGAACTGTACCTACCTCATAGTTCTGTCACTGAAGAAATTGAGCATATCCTCAGATGGGCGAATTTTCTTTTTCGATTTTTCGATACAAAACCGTCACAGAAATAAAAATCGTCAAATATACCGTCTTTAGAAAAATATCGAAAAACCGAACACACCGCGATATTTTATTGCTTGGTGATGAATAAATACTGTTTTATACTCCCGACTCTTCAGTCCACAAAGTTTGCGAACACCGTTACGTTAAAGAGCTTTGTTTTCGTCACGTGACTTCTCGCTCACTATTCCAACCGACGATATCGTAAGAATTATCCCTGCTTCTGTTTCAATTTCTATGCATCTTGATGAACGATGAATTGGTTATAGCGATACTTTGATTTTCCAAAGGAATTCTTGATTTTCTGATTGAAATAAATTTTAATAAAGCAGAAATATAAATAAAGCCAACTACGTCGTAATACCGGTAGACTGATTATCATTCAGGGTATATAGGAAGTGTCATGGCGGCCCGTGTTCCAAAAACTCGCTATTTGACTAAACCAATGGATACTTTTTGACACAGTACTTATGTTTTATTTATAGTTTAATTCAGTAATCTTGTATTGTAAAATGTATTTTAAAGGAGGCATACGATTGGGTGAGAAAAAAACCGAGTTTGCAAGCGCAAATGAAGACTCGTAGCTATAAAGCAAACTGCACGGCTAAAGAATTGCACAAAAAAGTATTTTATGTTTTTTTTGTTACTTTTTGTGCCTCCTTCTTATCTTAATTTAAATAAGATATCATAAATAATATATTGGAAAGTAAAATTGTAATAAACAACAAGGACATAAAAACCGACATTGTTAGCAAGTCTTCATAGCTATATAGATCATTAAATTTTATTTGTAAATTTGGTACTGTATTTATGCTAAAATCTTTTAATAATATTGACTAGAAAGTGTCATGTGAATATTCCTGGGGTATTTCCATTTTTTTCAATATGTTTTTTTACATTTAAAAGGTGATAAATTGAAATTATTGACATTTTATAAATTATCGCGATGTAGAGACTAAATTATCGCGAAATAGTCCCTGCTTCCAGGGATATCGCCCACTCCTCAGTAAAGATGTAATTAAAACCTTGAATCTATCCACAGTAAGAATGTATTCATTAACCTTGAGTCCATCTTCAATAAGATTGTATTCTTTAACCTTCACGCCACCCTTAACAAGAATGTATTCATTAACTTTGACATCATCCTTAATAAGAATTCTTCTTGAAACGTTTTTAGCAAATGAGACACGTGATAACTTCATCTGATACCACTTATTATACATGGTCACGTGAATGTTCTTTCTAGACCATCTGATATCACTTCACATCTGTTTAGAACACACGATGTCACCTCTCACTTATGTAGGATACACCGATAGTATAACATTAGTCTGTAGGGGTTTATTTTTATCTTTTATAAATTTCAGAGTAACTTAACACATAATTTCGAGACAAACCTTGTAAAAGTCCAATATTTGACCTCTATCGCGGATGAATTAACGCCACTGGATGTGATTTACACTGCGATTATGTTAGAGGGTATTTCTAAAACAGATAATATAACACAACAGGTGAGTTCACATCATTCTCTTATAATAATAATAATAATAATAGAGACTTTTTGCAAGCGGAATTTTTCCCATCGGTATCACGTATCCGTATCGTCGCGTCAGTGTAGTTTCTCTATTGATTTTAGAGCATTTAGGTTTAGACTACTTTATTATGCATTTCACCGATGTGGTTACTTGTATAGTTGAATTTTATTACATATGCTTACATTCGTGTTTCGTGTAGCATATAGCAGACCGCGACTCATGCTGGCATTACACAATGGTTTCTTTGGGTTGTATTCCTGATTGTTTTCAAATTTGAGTGAAGTCTGTGGCACTATAGACCCGGGACTGTACAGCGCAGTGGACGCTTACGGCTAACCTCCGGATCTATTCACTTTTTTTGAATTGTTTGTCTGTTTGTATTTTTCTGAGTATGATGTCTTGTCGTGTATTTGTTTTTGTGTAAATTTTGTGTGGTGCAGCCCCCCTGCACTTACTATTAGAGTCTTGGCAGATTTTCGCGTCGCGTATAACGTATGAGTAGCTGAACTCAGCTTAGTTTTATTACAGCATGATCACCATCAGTACTAGTCAAGTGCCTAGCATACAAATTACTGAAGGGAAAGAAGTCATTCGACAGTCGCTGTGCTATTAAAATCAAATTGATGTCGAATCTTAAAAAAATCTTTGACTTCGACTCGGCAGCAATTTTTTGTTTCACCAATGTATCATGTCAAAAAATGTATATCCCGTTACCATGGAATCATATCATTTACAGATTTGCAAGGTCCCACCATTAGCACATAGATCAACCAGCATGCAGCCGGACAGACAGACGGGAAACACATGAAAATTCCGAGAAAATCGCATCAAAAATAATGTTTAAATTCCAGGCTTTATAATGGTTAAAAAGACATCAAATAAACTCTCGTGTTATAAGATACATATAGATTCATAAAAACGCTATGTCACAACATTTCATCGTCTAAAAGTAGCAAAATTCGGTAAAAAGACAACGATGTTATACGGACCTTTTCCGTATGGAAGCTGTTCGATACGTGCTGCCGTGTGCTGTGCCGTGACACGTATGAGAAATACACACATATTGATGATGTCACACGCAAAATCTATACGGATACGCGATAGGGACCAGGAATTTACACTTGCCAAAAGTCTCTAATAATTGCTTGCAATATAGCTAATGTATGCCCTTATTTTGTGCAGAAACAGATTTTTCTGTTGTTTTTATAACTGTCTAACTGTTCCATGTCATAGTTACATGTTATAAAATTCAAACGCTTAACAAAACGAATCCGTTTTGCATTGCATGCATTCATTTGATTACTCTAAAGCTTTATGACAATTTGACCGTTGTTATATTAGTCAAGTTGTTGATACGAATCGTCTGATTGAAACACAGATTTGTGATGTTGAACAAGCTGCTCTGAGGCTGTTTAACTTTTATCTGTGAACACAGGGTATAAGTAAATACTTGTATATGTTCTACAAGACAAGTAAAAACTGATTTTTATTGTTTTACAAAAGAGGGGACAAATATCATTATTGGATGTAACGTTAAAAGATATTTTACTGTATGCTTTCTTTTAGGGTGTCACCAATTTTATCAACATTATCAACAATATACAAAATTCTAAAGAACAAGTTGTTACAGAAGCAAATGTGAAAGTCAATATTTCAAACAGGTAAATAAAAATGAGTATATATTTAAAATGCATTATGTAAGAGCTAAAACTGTGTATTGCAGGTTTTTATTTTGGCTTCAATTGTTATATAAATTATTATTTAAACATTTATGAACATAACAAGCCCATAATCAACTCTCTAGGTCATCGAATGTCAAATATTGTCAAACTCCAATTTATATTAAATTGACAAACGATTATGAATACTGATTGACTCAGTAAGTGAGGTGGTTGCTCGCTAACTTGGAGGTGACCTTTCGATCTCAGTGTTGGTCGAGAAATGTTCTCGAGACTGTCAGGAGTAGTGCCCCCTCCCCCTTCTAGCCCCTTTTCCCCCCGATCCCTTTGTAGTCGTCTCCCCCTTGTAGTTTCCCCTCCCCCCTTGTAGTCGTCTCCCCCTTGTAGTCGTCCGGATGGGACGAATTACGAGTCACATGAATATATTGGCGTGCTCGTGAAAAAACACTGACAGTTGGAATTCGAAATAATAGTAGACCGTAGCGTTACTCCCTGGGAAAAATTCTCCCACGTATCACACTGTATGGTGTATGCCCGTCTCCATCTGCCCGGTTTGGCTGAAAAATAGGACGTTAAACCCCATTTCATTTCATTGCGGTGTCTGTATTTACCCAACTTATGTGTTATTATAGTAGTGGACTGTGTTGCTCTCGAAGATGGGTGTTCTTACTCTGACTCTGGATAATATTGTTACACCTTTATGCCCTTTAATTAATGTGTTTTATAGAAATACTAATACTGCTGTTTCTCTGTATTTCAGACTGATTGCTAGCTTAGATGAACTCGAACTCAGAATTCCCACAGATGACGACGATGGTCATTTTAGATTAGTAACCAATGAAACAGTTGTAGAAGTTTGGAATCTGACCAGACTAAAGAGAAACCCTGTACTTGGTCTATCGATAGATGTGGAGGGTTCTAACCCAGTTGATATATTTGAAAACAATGTCCTATCGACACTGTACGAAGAAAGTGAAGTGATTTACAAAAGAACTGATGTTGGGATATTGTTAAATAAACAATTTGTTACACCTACAATAGAAGGTAGAGTATATTCATGAATTCTTTTTGTTTATCAAACTGGAGACCTTGTGTCAAGTTTTGGTGATTTACTAAATATTTTTGTTTATTGATTGATTGTTTTTTTTTCACATTGCCATTTTTATCCTTGTTTTATTTATTCCAGAGAAGACTACAACAGATATACGACTATCTATGCATATGTTAAATACCGATAATTTGTTTATCACTGATAATAATGACACAGTTAATAGTAAAGTTATATCAGCTACATTAACTATAGATAGAAAACCTGTTGTAAATTTAAACGGTTCTTTTGTCACCATAGTTTTCTTTCCACAAAAAGTAAGTTTTAATTTATTATATATTGGTAAATGTTTTGTCGTTGTCAAGAGGTTACCACCAGTATCTGAAACCCTGGTTTAGATTATCATTACAGTTTCTAGAACACATAATAACACTTTCTAAATTCCAAATTAAAAATATCTCCCAAAATAACAATAAGTAGTTTATCATTCAAAAGCCAATATATTATCATGTTCGTTCTGCAATACCCAAAAAATATTACATTGTAGTGGAGCGGCTTAGAGTTACCTCCCCCATCCCCTATGGGCGTGTTTATCTAGAATATCATATAACACGTCTAATGTCTCACACTGATCTGCAGTGAATATTTGCTTGGCCGCGACAATCACTGATAAGGATGACATTGATGCGGCTTAATGAGCTAGAAATATTAACTTTTTTCCTGCGACAAATTAAATTCTAAAACATTTTTTGTATATATTGGAAAAATAAATAAAGGCGTTTGACGTATTTGTAGGTAAAAATTATTTCCGATTTAGTGTAAATGGGTATTAAATTGACTAAAATGCAGCCTTCTCTCCGAAGCAGTTATGTCTTATGTAAACAATGCACGCGCCATTCAGCCAATGATTCACACCGCGTGCTGTGACAGCACGTGTTAAGGCAGTCATCTATGACAGAGATATTATACGAGACTCGTAATTCTCTGTGAAACAGATTGCTAATGTCTATGTTATACGCTTATATTACGACAATGAAGTGTTTTCTTAGATAGACATTAGCCGTTACCAGTGAGTAGTAAATAAAAATTGTCTTATGATTTTATGTGGATAGACTTGTGTGTGAATTCGATCAAACAGATTATGCCTATATGATGTATTTATAACACTTGACAAACGAGACACCGCCATTCTACGAACACAAACTACTAGGCTTATTCAAGGTGACTCTATAATTATTAACATAACGTAGTTAATACTCCACGATGGAAGTAAATTTACCAACTGTCCTACTGTAAATAGAGCATTGCTTGGAACTAATGATTCAATTAGTTTTACATTAGTTTGATGCTTATGAATTGTATCTTGTAATATTGTAGTCTATACACGATCCTGTTTCTTGTTTTTAATTCCAGATTTTACAAGATAAATATAAAGAGAAATACAGTCATTGTGTATTTTGGGATTTTAGTTTGAATAATTTTCGTGGTGGTTGGTCGAATGACGGTTGTCGTTATGTTAACACAGCAGAAGGACGAGACGTCTGTGTTTGTGATCATTTAACAAACTTTGCTCTTCTTTTGGTAAGAAGATGTTAAGCAGTGTGTTTTAGTATCTCGCTGTTTAAGATATGAAGGCTATTAATTATTTGAAAAACGCAATTTAAACACCTAGAGCAATGCCCAGTAACATTTGTCCAGTCAGGGTATGCATCGAAAAGAGTAACGACCAGGAAAGATAAAAAAGTACAATTGTAAACTCAAACTGCATAATGATTTCGAGAAAAAAAGTTAAATAACAAATATATTTGGATCAAGAAATGAGCCCCAAACGCAACTTATCTTGTCGCTGATCTTCTTGTTCTTATTCGGGTCGATGCTCTTCGAAAAAAGTCCAAGACCCGATATGTAACATGACATCGTTTTGCTTGGAAGATTATACAACGATTTATTTGACATTCTTTCAGGATTATTATGGTCACGATTTTTTGGTACAACCAAGTCACCAACAGGCTCTATCTATTATTACCTACATTGGATTAATCCTTTCTATCATTGGATTAGGATTAACCATTTTAACGTTTCTGGTTTTTAAGTATGTTTATTTAATCTTCACTGTATTAAATTGGAAATACGTAAAACAAATTGCAGTTAAATGTGCTATATTAAAACTTTTTTTTCTTACATAGCACGTATTTAATATTATAATACCGACTTTAAGGTTATAATACCGACTTTAAGAGCATCCAATAATGAAGCACCATCATAATATATTAAGATCTATGCACTCCATACGAATCTAGTAGAAGCTTAGGAACTTAGAACAAGTTATTACTAGTGATTCATTAAAGGCATGGGGAACTTGGCACACTTAGTACAAGGTTCATTCGCGCTCTATTTTTTTTCAGAAAACTACGAGAAGGTCGACCACAGCAAGTCATGTTTAATTTAGCACTAGCCATGTTGTCTTCGTGGATCGTATTTTTGACAGGAATCAAGCAGACTGGTGATCACGTGGGTTGTATTGTTGTAGCGGTCTTGTTACATTATTTTATCATGGCGTCCTTCACGTGGATGTTAATGGAAGGCATATTACAATATCTTCTATTTGTAAAAGTCCTAGGAAGCCATTTCAGACATTTTATGCTGAAGGCGACAATACTAGCCTGGGGTAAGAATATATAATCAATCAATTATGTATCTTTGGTGACACAAATTTAAAACACCTTGCGTAAAGCATCAAAGTATTAGACCTTGCCATGTACCAGAAGTCCAACATAGCGATCGAAATAGTAAGTGCAGGAGATCGACAAGGCAACACTGCGGACATTATAAATAATTCGTGTAGCAATCTAAAGACGCCTTTAGTTATCCAACATTATAAATAATTCGTGTAGCAATCTAAAGACGCCTTTAGTAATCCAAGATTATAAATAATTCGTGTAGCAATCTAAAGGCACCCTTTGTAATAAAACATTATAAATAATTTGTGTACAAATCTATCGATACCCCAACTATAATAGTATAAATATATTTATTTATGGCAGGTTTACCGGTTATACCAGTTGCGAGCATGTTAGCCATTGATGTAAAGCTGTATAACGGTGGTGAATTGTAGTAAGTATTTATATTGATGTAGATCTGTATAACATAGCAAGTATTTATATTGGTGTAGAGCTGTAAGTATTTATATTGATGTATATCTGTGGAACATAGTAAGTATTTATAGTGGTCTAGAGTGGTCATTAACCATAAAATGTAAAATAACTAAGTCTAACGATCAGCAAAGTGGATATCCATTTTAAATTCCAACTGTCAACGGTTCTTTTACGTGCCGTGTACACAGGACATCGGTTTGTCGTCTCTTCGGAACGACTAATTCCTGGTTTGAAAAACAACTTGGTCTTGAATTAATATATATATATTAATTTGAAATTACCTCCCCTTATGTTTCAGCTGTTGGATGGGACTAAAAGGAATGTATTATGGTTTTGCTCTACCTCTTGGCTTGATTATATTGACTAATAGTATCATCCATATCTTGGTCACGCACAGTATCTGTAATAGAAATAATCTCAACACAACAGTCCTTCAACACTCAGTTACAAACATCAGAGCCTCGTTCTGCTCTTTCATTTTTTTAGGTGAGTTGAAATTGATAAATCTATACGTGACAGAAACATACACAAGGCCAAATGTTATCTGTTTTATATTAACAACAACGTAATTATTATTTGGTTTTAAAGATGATAGCCCTGCTTGCCTCTGTGGTCACAAATTCGAAGATACCGAACACTATTTACTCGTATGCCACTTATATTCAGATGCAAGAAAACGGACAATCCATAACCTTCAACATAATCATAAAACAATCAGTTGTCTGTTGTATGGGTCAACAAAACTTAGTCCAGAGATAAACACACTTATTTTCCAAGAAGTCCAACAATTTATTTCCTTATCAAAAAGATTTAAATCTCCATAAACAACTCTTAAGTCATTCCAAGCCCTGCACTCTGTATAATCATCTAAGTCTCTATATTATCCATGATGTATCATTTTTGCTCTATAATTATGTAATTATGTATGTATGTATGTAAATATTTATAATGTGTACATGTACCTAAATCAGAGAGAGGGGTTACACATAGGCATAGCCTGTTCCCCAATCCAAATTCAGATTTAATGAATAAAAATATTGTTTAAAAAAAAAAAAAAAATGCAGTATCAAGCGGAATAAAATCAAGGATTGAGTTTAATTATCCTATATACTCTCTCTGACGTTGTTGGCAATGTTTAAGTCTATGTTTGCAAAGGATTATAATGCGCTAAAATGAGAAGTTAACAGTTTCCGGTGTTATATAAGAATGTTCACTATCTATACCTGACATTGTCCTGCAAGATTTAGGTTTAAAATATTGTCTTGTTCCAATCCATAAAACATGTTACTGCGTCCACCAATCCTCATGTTTTACTGTTGTTTATCTGTGAAGGTAAAGTAACATACTTTAATAAGCATGTTCACTACACCTGTTGTTCATCTGAGAAGGTAAAGTAACATACGTCTCATGACCTTGATGAAGATAAATAAATTGTCTCAAAAACCTCGAATGTGTTTAACCAGGTCCATCGATTGTTGTATGTGCCTGTAGAGTTTCTACATTTAAACTACTTCCATTGAACAACAACAACTATATTCCTATCTGTTATATTTTAGGATTAACCTGGGTATTTGGATTTCTCGCCATATCAGATGCTCGTCTGGTGTTTCAGTATATCTTCACAGTACTCAACTCTCTCCAGGGTTTCCTTATATTTATCTTATTCACTGCCAGAGATAAAAAAGTCAGAGATTACTGGAAACAACTTTGCTGGTCCTGCAAAACCAGGAGTACAACATCAAAATCTTCAAAGACCACCAGTTCCAGTACGGCCTTATAGGGATGATTTCAATTTTACTGATATCAGACAGAAGTACACCAACAGCGATATTGTCCAAAATATATAAAAATATTGAAATTAAATCCACTAAAATTAAACATGGTTCAAGTGAAATATCAATAAATTCACGAATTCAATTGGATATATTCTTTTCATCCATGGATGTAATATAATTAATATCATGACAATTCATGAATGTAATAGTATTTATCATGTTCATCCATGGATTCAGTATACATGTGTATGCATAATTAATCATCATAACAATTCATGAGTATTACCGACAGTAGATACAGGAACACAATATAAGTATCATGATAATCCAACAGTAGGCTATCGTCGATATGGTTAATCATCTCGATACAGGAATATATTTATATCACTATGTTAATCAGCTCGATACAGGAATATATTTATATCACTATGTTAATCAGCTCGATACAGGAATATATTTATATCACTATGCTATTTTACTTGATCCATATACAGGAATATATTTATATCACTATGTTAATCAGCTCGATACAGGAATATATTTATATCACTATGCTATTTTACTTGATCCATATACAGGAATATATTTATATCACTATGTTATTTCACTTGATCCATATACAGGAATATATTTATATCACTATGCTATTTTACTTGATCTTTGTATATCTTTTAACCCGATTTATATTTGTTGTTTTTTTCTTTTCTTTATAATTGATTAATTTTATATTCATTTATTGGTCTTAAATAATATACATAATATAATTTAACCCGATTCCTATTTTCTTTTGTTTCTGTTAATAAATTATATTATTTTATATTCGTTTATTGGTCTATAAGAATTACATTGTATATTTACATTAATTGGGGTTTAACGTCCTACTTTTCTGCTGGGCTAATGAAGACGGGCATATGCCCTACAATGTTGTCCGGACAGCGGCATTAGGGTCCCCAAAAGACAATATTTATATGTGTGTGCGAGGAAGGGAGAGAGGTCCTTCCCAGTGGTACAAAGTAATATTGGGCTGTGTGGAACATGCTAGAGTTGTTTTGTAGTATATCTGACCCAGGGTATATGTTTCATACTGGTTAAAAATTATAATGTTGAAATCCGCATTGTAATCGCGTTATATTTGTCATTAGTGAGAGGGCGCAAAAGCTCAAAACCATGACACAAAGCACGTCATTACGTCCTTCTCACTTAACCCCTTGACGGCATTACATACGTCCTACTCTTTAGTTCGAATTCCAACTGTCAAGGGTTCATTTACATGCATGTCATTGATCTTTCGTAACACTGGAACGACTAGACACCGTCCTTCATCACTGACAAAGGATAACCTAGCTGATAAATCCGGGGGAACTGTCTCGATCAAATATCGGGGGCGGTGTCTAGTCATCTATATTCAAAAAACAATAATCGAGACAGGATATTAAAACCCTCAACTCCTACTCATACGGTTATTATAATCAGAAAATCTGGTTAATCGGGTCTATGTTTAATCGAGACAGGATCTCAACTCCTACTCATACAATTATTATAATCAGAATGTCTGGTTAATCTGGTCTATGTTTGTTGACTTCCGTGACTGAATGGATAAACGTTATCAATTCTAAAGAGGTTTCTACTGTCTGAAGCGTCGTCAATTTTAAACAGATTTCTTCGATTATGAAGAAACTACTTAATTATGGTTATCAAAAACGTGTCTATGTGTTTGAAATCAACTCAGGATAAATAATATCCACTGTACAATTATATATCCCAACAAATAAAAAAGTTCTTTTTTGTGAAATTGAAATCGTCACGAATTTTGACATCGAGAAATACAAAACTGGAAGTCAATACGTCACGTGTCTCGGGATAGATCATTTCGTACAAGGCGGTGAAAGCAATTATAATTTATAATATTTTTATAGGTTCATTCATCGATAAATATCGTAAATTATCAACATATCATATCGCTCAACGGTTTAATTATCTGCATACTTTCATCTCCAATGTCTTCAGTTGATATATTTGTCTCTCAAACTCAAACAGTCCGTGCGTTGTTTTGTTTGCAACACAAAAATTTGTCAATGATTTGAATGATTACCAACTTAAGGAGGGTCACGTGGATAATTTTAAAACGTCATCGTAGACCCGATTGTCTACCTAGCGAAAATTAGTGAGTAATGCATGGTTGACGGAATCTGGCGTAGTGAACTTTGACCCCACCTATTTTAATCCAATGTGTCTTTCCTTGGTATGATTGGGCTTGCTTGATTTGTCCGCCGATAGGCGAGCCGGTTTGTACAAGGCGTACGCCGGTCAGGTTACCGTTTCAGAGCAAATCAAGTGACCCGGCAGATAAAAAAAGTTGGCGTCGGATAATATTATAATATTAAACCGGTAACATGACATGTTTTAATAACGATAGGCTGCCAGGCAACGAAACATACGCCCACACCAGCTAAAGGGTCCGTGCAGTCAACAAGAGTTGTCGCATATTTTTAATTTTTTCGGTAATGAAACATTTATAATACAATAAAATCTGATTAAAAGTAACAACTCATTAAGTAATTATCAAGTTCTGTCACATGTTAACGTTTAGAATACGAAACATTTAATATCATGGATTTAGCTGTTCAGTTATCAAAATTCATTGAAAAATATACTTGTTCGTCTCAAGACCTTAAACTCTGTGTATCAATCTGAAGTCAATCGGATGATAAATTTGGCCATAACGCTGGCGGTAATTTTCGCTGAAAATCAACAGAATTCTTCGTCTCAGGACCTTAAACACTGTATAAAATTAAAGCCAATCGGATGTTAGCTTTGGCCTCTAGAGCGTCCACAAACAATTGTGGACATCGGACCGATGGATGGACGGGCGGACGACAATATACGACCACATTTCAATGTGGGCGTGTAAAAACAGTATTCATGAAAGCATAACTATAAGTACGTGACCGCAAAATAATACAGAAAATTATTTGTAGTATTACCGAAAAAAAAAAAAATAAATGACATATGAACATCTGGTTTTACGAGGCCCTAATTCAACTTTAAAGCATTTGGTTTAATGTAAACGCTTTAATATTCGTGTTTAATGGCATTCCTAACTAACGTGAATTTTATCTCGTTGACACGTTCACCATCTTGCGCCGGTGATCGCCGCTGCCGACAAAGCGGCGCATTCGGCGTACGCCGCGGTCGAATTTTTGTCGGCTTGCGGTTAAATCAAGTGACCTTGACGGGGAAACTGCCGAACTGTGGTCAGCCGGTATGCGCCGGTATGGATAAATCAAGCAGGGCCAATATATCTACTGCAAGGGAATCGGTTTCAGACGAGTTATTTGCCCCTGAGTTAAAATTCGGAATCAGACCAGTTATTTGATATCTCGCCTACGAACATGGACGTAACAGACTTTAGACATATACTTAGTCATAGCTTGATGTTATTTTTGAAAAAATTTCTCCACGCTCTGCCTTTATCTCCCTTCAACATCTTACCATCGTGTCACCCATCACGTGACATGAATAATGTTTTGACGAAGCCTCTCAAATAAATAAATCACGTGGTTGGCACACAATTGCCTTATCTGTTCAGACTCTAGCGTGTTCGAAAGGCTCCGGGGCGAGACTCCCTACCCCTAACGATGCATACCATGGGTTTTTGTGCCCCCTCGGGGATACCATTCCATTGCCCATACAAAATTACGTGTCACCACGCCCCTGCAGTATTTCAACCCACCCTCGCCACGCCATGCTTTTCAAACCATCCTCGCCACGCCATGCCTTTCAACCCATCCTCGCCACGCCATGCTTTTCAACTCATCCTCGCCACGCCATGCCTTTCAACCCATCCTCGCCACGCCATGCCTTTCAACCCATCCTCGCCACGCCATGCCTTTCAATCCATCCTCGCCACACCATGCTTTTCAACTCATCCTCGCCACGCCATGCCTTTCAACCCATCCTCGCCACACCATGCCTTTCAAGTCACCCTCGCCACGCCATACCTTTCAACCCATCCCCGCAACGCCATGCCATTCAACCTATTCTCGCCACGTCATGCCTTTCAACCCATCCTGGAGCCACGGTGGCTAGGTGGTTAAGACGTTGGCCCGCTAGTCTGGAGGTCTGATGTTCTATCCCTGCATTGACCGTGAAAGTTCTTCCAGATTTTCCGACGTGGTTTCCCCTTGTCAGTGGTGCAGAACAGAGGACCTGACAAGGACAGCTGCCTAGTCCTTCGGATGACACGAAAAACCGAGGTCCCGTTTATACATTGAAATGCACTTGAAAGATCACCTGGCAGTTGGAATTCGATATAAGAGTAGGTGATAGTGCCGCTACCCGGGCAAAATTGCCCTCATAGCACACTGTATGGCGTAGGCCCGTCCTTATTAGCCCAGTATAGGAGTAGAACAGTAGGACGTTAAACCCCATTTCATTTTCAACCCATCCACGCCATGCCATTCCTTTCAACCCATCCTCGTCAGGACATGCCTTTCAACCCATCTTCACCACTCCATGCCTTTGTTGATGAATTATTTCATGGTGTTGGTCTGACAGAAAAGAATAAACATGCATACACTTCCGGCATTTTATGTCCCCCTTCAACAATCTGTTCCACTGAATACAGTACGCGTACAGGGGAAGAAATGGATTACCCGAAAATTAATCCTACCCCACAGTCTCCTGGCATGGCGATGGGATGTATACCCCCCCCCCCCCTAATTTTGAATAGATGTTTCGACATATTGTTTTTTGTATCCCAAATGTTTTGAGATTTTTAGCGTGACCTAGGGCGTATTCTAATGTCTAGGGTTATTCCTGTAGAGAACGCTACTCGGGATTTTGCGGCGTGGTTTTCTCTTGCCAGTGCTTCAGGACAGAGGGGCTGACAGCGTCTAGTCGTTCCGGTGGGGTAATTGTTCGAAGTCCCGTGTGCACTTTTGCGTGCACGTTAAAGATCCCTTGACAGGTGGAATTCGAAATATTTGCCTTAACGATCCCGATAATCATCATCACCTCTACTACCCCCCCCCCCCCGACATATAGATATGTATACTATATCTACCATACAATACTATATGTATACAATAAATTACACAATATTTAACCAACCATATCAATATATTGGTCTATATATATAACAGTAGACCAGTAGATTGGTGTATTATTATATTATATTTATATTACTGACTGCACGTATCTACCAGATAACACACATGTATATATACTTGTACATGTATTACACAATATCTACCCAACCATATCAATATATTAGTCGTTCTTATACGATGATCATGTTTCCTTACAAACCTTCAGTGAAATGTATAGTTGATTCATGTATTATGATATTATAAATATGTTACTGACTGCATGTACACAATAATATAAACAGTTAACCACCCCATTTAAAACCTTCCTGGTTTATATGTACATGTAGAACATTAAATTGCGACCATGGATAGATACACGTATTATAATATTATAGTTATGGTACTGGCTGTAAATATTAGATATATACAAGGTAACGTAGCAACTGTTTTATATTTATTAACATATAGTTTATTGTCTACTCGGTTATATAACATATATATTGTATCTACTCTGTTATATCATACACTATCTACATACTACAAATATAAACCTGATATGATTAAGATTGGGGGAGAATAAGGGTAAATATGACTATGTTACCTGTAGATAGATACACGAAACTAAATCGTAAATAGGGGGTGTAGGTTGCAACAAATGGGCACAAAACCAAACGAAACG